CTCGACGTAACTGGGATCTAGATGGTATGAAACCATTTGTTTCATATTCAAAAACCATAAACCGCCGCTGAGACTGATTAATAAGTAGCAGTTAGTTATACAACCATTTCACTCAACGTCTTACAGCATTTCTCTAAAGAAAAATAATTCTACAGTTAACATAATAACATCACATAATCGAACAAAATAACTTACACTTGAGCGTGTTTTATTGGATTTATTATTCATTTCAGATAAATTAAGCATACTGCTATGCAAAACTACAATGGTAGTATAGGCTTTAATACTAATATTTACTTTCTTTTTGAGTAAAGATATTCAATATAAACACCACTAGTAGCAATAACTGATAATAACTGATAATATTGTTTCAAATCTACCCTCAACTTTTAGTACTACTAGTTTAAAATGACTAAAAATTTAATAAATTCTTTGATGTTCAATTAGTTACTATAATCATACGCATGTAGTCTGTGTATGTGTGTGTGTGATATACGTTTATAAAAAAAGGTCGTAAGTCCAACTAGTTATAATGCTCTAACTTCGTTAAAGTGCTACTGGACTTATGACAGCGACCGTACATATCCATTTATTTTTTAAATTATTTGGTTCTTTTATATCATCATTTATGTTCTTGTCGATCATCAATCGTTTAAAAGAAAAACCTGATATTGATAATAATTTGTCAACTCTTGACTGACCTGTTGATCTAGTGATTATATACTACTTTGACAGACTACTGAACTGTCGTAGACTCTCTAATCCCATCCACGACAAATAAACTGATATATTTCTAAGTTTCATTTAAACAATGCTATAAATATTTTTGTTTTTAACTGAAGCGGTTTGCTACCCAAAACTCCGCACGTCAAATTTCAACATTTAATGTTATACTCGTATTTATATGTTTATACTAATTTGTCCCAAATATTTTTTCAAAAATGTATTACCCCATTGACTCTAGTGGCTATTAATTATTCAATAGAACGTTTTGGAAACTCAATTTTATTGTTCGAGGTTTTAATTGAAAAGTTCTTGTACAGCTGCAATGGGATCGACAAAATTTATGTCCTCCTACGTGACATGAATGACAAGAAAGTAAAGGTACGAATGAATAAGAGAAAAACAAGAAATTGTTATTATTTTATATTGAAGAACTGTTGTTATAACCGAAAAGTAATATTTACTGTTTTTCAATATTTCATCAACAGCCTTTACTAGTCCTACTAGGAGGTTTTGGCCTACTACACCACGCTGGCCAGAAGGGTTGGTATAGGGTTTGTGTCAAGTTTTCCTTCTCTCTGCAGTACTGTTGTCCTGCGTAGTTTGCTCCCTTAGTCGCCTCTTACGACACCCACAGGATGAATAGGGGTGGTGACACTCTGTATTCTTAATCCGTCACCACACGGACGTTTCAATGTTTATTTATCTTTTATTATTATTTGTATTTTATCCATCAAGTTATTTTCTACGCTATCAAAGATAATAAACGTGGTAGCCGTAAAATATAGAATAAGCGAAAATACAGTCATTATAACAATCTCTGATTCACAAAGCTTCTTAAGATAAATGTCTGTGTGAGTCAATCCCTGGGAGTTGTCCTGGGTGAGTCAATTTATTATCGTCCTTTATAAAATAAGTTTTCGTTTTTACCCGATTCTTTCGCAGACTTAATAATAGTTTACCCGTCCTTCGGACGGTGCGGAACAATGCCTTTTCTGATTCAATAATTAAGAAGTTAGTTTAGTTAAAAAAGATGATAAGTTTTAATGAGAAAGCAAAAAATTAAGAAGGCATGGAGGTGGAAACGAAAATCAATCGTACAATCAAAGCAATCGTGCGACAAGAAAGCTTTAAACCTAATATTGATAATAATTAGGCAATTCTCGGCTGGCCTATTAGTCTAGCTGTTCATGACCCTGACTTTGAAGACAGAGAACAAATAATTCTTGGATAACACAATCATCTATTTTAAATCTGGGAAATGGATAAGTAAATTTATCGGTAGTCTGGTTACTATAGTACAGGCTCTGACCAGATTGGGATCAGGTAGCAGCAGGCAGTTAATAGACTCTGGTAACTAATACCCTTCACAAATAAGCACAGCCATGTGCTTGCTTAGTAAGATAGTTGTATGATGAAATTGCACAGAAATTGACATTTAATACTTTCCCTATACAGTTTTATTTGTATATATTATATACAGTACATTTATTTGAAACAATGAAAAACATATTACGAAACAACTATTTTTAGGTTATTTGACCCATTTTTGTATTCATGTTCCACTTAATTCTAACGACGGTCAATAAACTCAAGGCTAGACAAGACGGAGACATCAAAAACATAACCCCATTTTACTTGGCTTCACAAACTGAGGTAATGTAGTCAAGTTGTGTACTAAATTTCGGGGTAAATATTAAAATAATTCTTGTACATATATTTACTTATTCTTTATTTTATATCATTTTGTAGGTAATGTTTTCACGTGGGATAAATGAAGAAGGTAAACTGTGATAAGGAAAATGGATACGATGAGTGAGAATGGAATCGAACCCAGGACGGGTTTGTTCATTCATCATCTCATTCAATCATTTCATCATCAGTCATTTGTTCTATGCCTGTGTGTATAATATATGTTTAGAAAAATATAAGTATATTTATCGGCAGTCTGGTTTTCGTAGTAAAGGTTCTGCCTAGTTTGGAATCAGATGGCCGTGTGTGAGATGTTTGAGGTTATCATTATTATCAGGTAAGTCTTGGATGTCCGTGTTGTGACGGATTAAGAATAGGGATCATCACCACCCCTATTCTCCTCATGGGTGTGGTACTAAGGGAGTAAACTACACAGAACAACCAGGCCAAAACCTCTTTTCTAAGGAGAGGCTTGGGTTCAGTAGGTTACTACTAAAGATTGCTGATGATGATAATAATGAAGTCTTGGATGTTAGGGACTGAGACTGCAGTAACTCGAATAGGCCATTGTTGATCTTACATCAACTAGCCCTAATGTGGATGTGATGTTTAAACACAAAGCAAATGAACGTGTCCAAAATTAAGTGAAGAAATCGTTTTTACGTTTTCACCAAAAATCCTTGCTATGGTTGTTGTATCACATTCATTTACATAAAAATTTTTCTTTAGTAAGTCTATGAAAAACCATAATCTTTATAAATTAATTTATTTATTACATGTTATTATAAATTCAGTACATTTTAATGTCACAAATTAAAATAAATGAAATACTCAAAGTAATTTATTACACTGCATATTATAGTCATTTGAATTTGGAAACAGTTTAAAGCTCACTTAACAATTTTTGTTTATAATGATTAATATGAAGCCAAAGACCTAATAACAAATAATATTGCTTTGACAAAATTGACAACTGCTATCTGCAAAACAAGATGATTTGTTTTTTTTTTGTTTAGATTAAGTTACTGTGAAGGAATATCTCTGTAGAAATATATAAATTACATGTATATTTTAAGGTTTCTTGTCGTTGCTGTGACAAGTGTTCATATATGTTTGTTCACTAGTACAACACATTAAGAATCATGCGTTGCGGAGCCTACTGTATAAAACGAAATAAAAGTGATTGTAACAGCTTGAGAGTATTCATGCCACATTCAACTTTTCACTGAAAATATTGAAGCGTAAAACAGTTTTACATGACTGGGAAACTGTTTGCAGCTTAAAGGGGACCGCAGTTAAAATGATTTTGTTGCTTTTTTTTAGCAATACTACGATTAAAAATCTATTTAACAACTTTAAAGTATATTTGCAGCCTTACTGCTAAATACCCTAGTTCGGAATAAAAATATTTTGCAGATTTGTGTATTGGACTATTAATTAGCACCTCAGGATTCTGGTCTTGTAGATTTAAATTTGACCCTTTAAAAAAGTATCACGCAAAACCCTTATGTCCAACTGTGGGACAGCTTATAGACAAAGAACACTACGTATATGAATCGTGACTAAAAAAAAGAGTACTATAGTTAAACCGCCGTAAGCTTGGCCCTCCTGATGGTTTGGGGGACGCGGGGCGGGGGTGCATTCAACCAATTAGCTAGTGCGTCACTATCCGCCGGCAGTGACTGACGTGAAAGCATGGCTGTACGTGTATTATTATTTTGCATGATGAAGATAAGGTGATTTTATTAAAAAAAAAAATACAGTATTAAATTTTACAATTAATCATAAAAACTTACAATACACTGACATTATAATACATGGAAATAAATTCGATTTTTATTACATCGTGTGTAGATTAAATCTCAAACAAATAAATCTGAAGATATCGAGTTAGTACATCGTGTCATGTATAGCCGAGCGCATCACCCGCCCCGCGTCCCGCAAACCATCAGGAGGGCCAAGCTTACGGCGGTTTAACTATAATCGCTTGATGCACTTTATGTTTCAGAGTTTAAGATGAGAAAAATGGATCCAACCCTCATTAGATCGCAATTATATTTCTACTACAACTTCTATGCATATATATAAAAAATCTATCAGACTTCAGATTGTATGCAATTTTTCTAATTATAAAAATACGTACATACAAACAATATATATTTTTTAGATAAATTTATGGAATACTTATGTGTAAATCCAGAAGTGGAAATTGGAAAGAAGAAGTGGAAACAGCTAACATTTTATATGAATATATGTATGTATGTATTTAATAACTATGCGGCAACAGATATGAAAACCATTTAAGTCGACAACGAATTGTCGTTGTCGACTTAAATACTGGTTTTTATATCGTAATCGTAATTATAGCTAACGATATAAAATCATTTAAAGTAAAGTATATACGACAAATACCAATAGTATCGTACACATACATAAAAAAATACACTTCCTAAATAGTATATATTTTAAAGCTATATATTTCCGATGATATTCATCTGGTATAAATTGATTTAAAATACATAAAATTGTATAAGATGCATTTTGAAAAAAAAGAGATGTTTGAAAACAAAAAGACGCTTGTTTTTTCAGGGCCACACCACGCTTTCTATCCAAGAATTATAGTAAGACACATTAGTATATAGTCCAAAGCCCACTTTATATCTGCAACTTCTTTCAAATGATGTTATACCAATTATGCTGAAACCGCAAGGGTATTTTGCATGTGCCCGTTGCAGAGGAGCTCCACCATCAGTCTGTAGATATATTAAAAGATTAAAATATGGAAAATGTGCGGGTAGGTAAATGTTTAGGAAATCATAAATCAGAATGTTGACGATGTTTGAAATATATCATTATTATTTGTTTTAAATACCATTAAATATTCTTAAACTAAGAAAATAATTTAATAGAATTTGAGATTCTGCGTTCGGCTTAATTTGGAATTCTTAGTTTGTTTGAACTTGGCATTCTTAATTTGTTTATATTCGAGATTCTGAATTTATCTGAATTTGAGCCTTTAGTTTGTCCGAATTGGGGATTCTTAGTTTGCATTAATTTGGATATACAACCAGCGGGTGTATTATTTAACACCCTTAACAACTTTACAGATTGACCGATTGCAAATCCCCTGAATCTGTAGACAGATCTCATTGATTATTATAGCACTAAATTTGTAAGAAATTTAATAAGAAAATTATTTAGCTAATTTAATTAAACTTAAAGTTTAGTTGCAATTTACAACAACTTATATTTTTCTTTTCATTGATATAAAAATTTAATAATAGGAATACTTACACCGCAAGGCATATTTAACCTATTTTTATATCCATAGCAAATTTGAGTGGTTTCGTTAAATCCGTGTGGCAACTCCCTGCTGGGAGGGTAAAGCAACTTGCAGTCATTTGTGCTAAATCTTTCTAACTGCACCTGAAATATGAACAACGTCGAAATTAGGTAGTACGAATTAGACTGAAAATAATATTACGAGTATATTTAAAAGCCTTCAAGGCAAAATATTTTTTTCCATTTCTAAATTAGTTGTAATTAGGTAGTTTTAGTCTCACAATATTCATCACCCTCATTAACCTCAAGAGTTATTTCCTCTTTACAATTTAAATCAACAAAATGAGTGGAAATAGATTATGTAGTATTTACATTGTACCTTTTTCTTCTCAAATTGTCTATCGCCTTTGTTCTTGTTTGGTATTGATGAACTTTAGTCCTATCAGTTTTTTTTTATACAATAGGGAGCAAACGAGCAGATCAGTCACCTGATGTTTAGTGACTACCGCCACCGATGGACACTATCACCAGCTCATATTAAAATTTAATACTCAAAATACCGTAAGAAATGAACAAACTTTATACTTTTGCATTTAAGGCTAAGTATATTATAATAAAACTTACATAGTATGAACCAAGTAAGTTAGATCGTGGGGTTGTATAATTGCCAATAGCAGTCGCCATAGCAGTTGAGTTTTTTAAATCACTGTCATGGGGTAAGCAGCCAGGCACAACCCAAAAGTGGAATAAAATTCTGAAAAAAATTATTGTGCATAATTAAATACCTTCTTTACAAAATATTTAAGAAGTGCTACTACCATTAAGGGCGTATAATTAGGAAAAATACCTCCACAAACAATGACAGAAAAACGTAGTTCAGTTCCATCTAACGAAGACACACGGAACTACGGAGTGACTGTTAATCTTGTATCGCGAAATGAAAAGTTCTCACGCCGATTAGCATATTATGCTAATTATATACAACTTTATAATATCAACTGATGGGCCGAGTTCCGTATCCATCCGCAAATAGACACTTTATAAAATATTAGCTTATCCACATCTTTTATTTAAGTACAAATATCTTTAGCAGTTTCTCTTAATAACTTTTTGCCTTAAAGTCTTCATTCGTGACCTTGTGTTTGATAATACTAATGCATATTGTACGTTTATATTTAATTTTATACTAGACTTCTTAAACTTTCTTATTTTCATATCCTGATTATGTAGACTATTAAACAGGACTCACTTTATCTCACTCCTTAACAATGCGATATCGTGGTACATAAAGGGCGCCTTGAATTTCGGATAGATGAAGATGTTTGACACTCTGTACTGATGCCAGTGTTCAAATGAGCCAGTACGCTCCCCCAAGCCAATGTGCGACACAATGCCACTAAACAAAAACAATAATTTTATTACATGTACTTAAATAAAGTTTCATAAAACTGAAATAAGACTTTCGGATTCATTTAACAACCAGATCAATATAGAGAAGATTATATTGGTTTTATTTTAGCCAATAGTAGCGTTTAGCGTTCGTCCAATAATGTCTACCACACGCTCTATGTGCTAATGGATTAAAAATTCAATGAAATATTTTCCACCCCATCACCACAAAAAAGAGATTGATAGTTTCTAAAATTTGCACAATCGTATTTTTGCATCTTATGTATGAAATACTATGTATTGATATATTACTTATATTAATTGTATTCCACTCATGGCTTTATACTATATGGTTAGACGGTTAGCTATAATTTTAGGCCAAATTCGTAATAGAGAGTGAACATGTTTCAATACCATTTATTTACTTTTAATGATCACCATAAGCTTTTTTTTAAAATATGTCCGCTCTTGATGATAGTTTGAAGTTATTAACAAAGAATATAATTAAAATATGGTTATAATGAGTGCACTCACAAGTAAGGATTATGGGTGCAATGCGCTGCTGTGAGGACGAAATGTTCACTGATGAGTGAGCCTCCGCATAACCATTGTAGACCCGACTCCGTCGTCCCATAGCCTAGCATTGCCTGTTTGAAATAAATATTTCAGTGTCGGTAATTTTGAGACATTGAAATCCTTATAAGCTTGCCTGCAATCTATATCTCTAATCTAATCTATGTAAAAAAACATTTTTTAAATTAGGCACAGCACTCAGCAGCAGCAGCAGCAACAGCACTCTTTTTTAAATTTTTTAAATTAGGCACAGCACTCTCGTCGTTACTTGAACTGGAGGAGCTGGGGTACTGTCAATTTTTTCTTAGTTAATTTTAACACCATTTCTTAAAAATAAATAAAACGGATTGTCTCCTAAATTGATTTACGTTGCATATATTTTGGACCATAGAAATCAATGTTTCAACTTAAGCGGTCTAGTAGGATCGGAGCAAATTGGTTGTGACAGACAGACACATCTTTATACGAGAGATTTGTTAGGGATTCCGTTTGTTCACTCGTTCGTACGGAACCCAAAAAGCGATTAATATGTCTTAAGTTAATATTTAAATGGAACTTATCTAAGCAGGTTTAAAACAATTTTATAGATACAACAGTGTATTACGAGTACATGTTTTAAAGATAAGTCAAAGAGAAGAGAAACACGAGAGGAAATATGTAAATCATCATCTTTCAAAGACGTCAAAATTGCCTGTCAATTGTATTTAAACCTTTAAATATATATCACTATTTTATATCTGTAAAATTAAGACGAATGGGAAATAAAACGGATATATCATGTTTTCTATATCTATACCACTGTATACACTCTACGTGACACACAGGTGCAGACCTATGTACCGTTGAATGTTGAATGTTCCTAACCTAATGGTTATGAACATTTAACATATAGCTTTGTTTAAAAAAAATTCATCTGTTTATGATCGTAAATTTGAATATAAATGAGCATGATGAAATTCTTTTACAGTCTCTTGAATATCTACGAATAACAATATACTCGTAGTATAAAATAAAGATGATGTCAGCGAGCAGCAAACTCCTTCCTGCTGCTGATGGGTAGCAGTTATTGCTGCCAATAAGCCTTAGTAACATACGAGATTTGTATTTCTCACATCTTTGTCTCTTTGCAATGATTAGGCTCCGATAAGTCTGAACACTGTCAGACATCATACTAATACTACCCTCATAGTGGCGGTAAGCCACAGTCTTCTGTAGACTGTTAGGTCAGCCAGTGGGCGGGTCTTGGTCGTGTAAAAGGCTGTCTTTTGACGATAATAATAAAAAGTAAATATTTGTAACACTACTTACAAGGTGAGTTAGTTCTTCTTTCCAAGTATAACGAGTGTAGAAGTTTTTCCTATTTTTTGTTAGACGCCTGAGAGTACTGCAGTTGTAATAATCTTGTTGGGTGGTAACCTTGTAGTACGACACATTCGTGCGTCTTTTGCAAGGAAAATCCAATTCATGTAACATTTTGAGACAGTCTAGAAAAAAAATTAGGATGTTTTTAAAGCAATGTAGTCAGATTTAATACTGTTATTATTATTTTTATTTCATAACCACTTGTCATTTATCTCGATTTGTTTGTTTGTGATGCTGGTAAGATGTTAGCGTGTGACCAGAGAAACTGAAAACTTTTATATCTAATATACTTTATATTCTACGTAAGTAAAGTCCGTGTAGTGACGGATTAAGAATACGGAATGTGACTACCCCAATACATCCCGTGGGTGTCGTAAGAGCCGACTTAGGGCGCAAAACAACGCAGGGCACCAGCACAGCTAAAACAGGGACAACTTGGCACAAACCCTATACCAACCGGTGTGGCCAGCGTGGTATAGTAGGCCAAAGCCTCCTTTCTAAGGAGAGGCCTATGTCCAGCAGTGGACTATTAAAGGCTGTTGAAGTGATGATGTTGTGAAGTAAAGTTAAATTTGTCAGCCTTGTTTTCCATGATACTAATATGAAACATTAAGTGCTTGTTTTTTTCTTTCTTTTTTTAAGTGTGTTTTTATGTGAACAATGAAATCAACTAGCCTGTTGTTCTACTGGTTAGTGACTAACAAGCCAGTGAGATTCCCAACTAGGACAAATTATTCTATTATATATTATAGTGAATTCTTCATCTATAATATAATATGTATGTATTTAGAAATATATATATATATATGTATATAAGTATGTTTCTCAGCAGTCTGGTTACCAAAGTACAGGCTCTGCCTGGTTTGGAATCAGACAGCCGTGTGTGAGATGTGTGAAAATATTATTATATTATTATTATTAAAGAAAATTGTAAGGAATCGACATAGATCATTGTATTCTCAAATATATTATATTGCAGCTATCTACTACATTATATATTTCACGTAAAAATATGGATAGAATACAATAAATTATAACAGTAACTAAAATATTATATTAATAAATATTGAAGTAGATATCATTTTATACTTACAATATTGAGACTTCTCTTTTGGTTTCGGATGTATACCTAGTCTTTTATCAAAGACTAAATTTCTGAAAAATAAACGATTGTAATAATACGTATATTTATGCGAGATGGGTTTTTATTTTTATTTAAAAGGATTGTTTATTCCTAATTTTTTTTACCCGTTATACACACAATATGCAAGCTTGTGGCTGCCACTAAACTTCAGGGTTGTCACATTGTCATTATTCTGTAACTATTTTTTACTTTATTACAATAATTAAATATCTAAGAAAATAGAATCTGAAGTAAATAGTATATATAAACAAAAGGAAAAACAAAGGATAAAAATATCAATGCATATTAATCACAGGAATTTCATGGTATTCACTGCATGATGTGATGATATATTTTTTCAGAATGAAGTGAATAAATGAAAATTATTCTAAATTATTTAATAAAATACACTTTTTAATCTACTTCAGTCTTCTGCAAGTTAACGGTACATTTACAATGCTTTCACAATCTTGACAAACCCGTTGTCAGATCATAACATACTTCTTTCCCCAGCACTTAACTAGTAACGTAATTTATAGATGGTCTCTGACTATACGATTGGTAAGTATTCATTAATCGTTAAGTATTTGTCTGAATTTGTAAAATTTATATAAGTTAAAATAGTGAAATGTCAACTGCTCATCACACTATATAAAATACTGCTATAAACTTTGAAGGGGTCGATCAATTTCTCAAGTATCCCAACATCAGAACCTGACTTGATCATCTAGAAATAAGACCCTTACAAAAATAAATAAACATTGTTATTCGGATAGTCCCGTCATGCATTAAAAAAACAGAATTGGTAATTTCGTCTTATTTTTTAATCTATAGAAAAAAGCGAGGGACCTTATTATGTACAGTAGTGATATAATCAAGTTTTATAAAGAAATGAATCAACAGGTTTGGATAAACAAAAATATATCAAGGACGTTGTGACATACTCTCCGACATAGAAAATATGTTTTACAAGCTCTAATTATGGAACCAATATCAGTTATGGAGCTAATTCTTGTAAAACCATCTTACTAATTGTGCTCATATTAAAATAAGTTACTTGTACTGTCCACAATATTTACTTCTTAAAGATGACCGGTTTCACTTTTCAACGTTTATTATAACAACAACACCAATAAAAAACTTGTTGTACAACAAAGAACAATGGCAGAAACATATTTACCTAAAACTGAAGCGTTTAAAAAATTGGCTAACAGTAACCTTACTAAATATTTTTTCTATGATTTATCATTATACCGCCATGTGTTGTATAAGTCTAATAAGAGATTGGATATTTTTAAAGATTTTATTTGACCTAAGTACGTAATGTCAGAATCGCCATCACGAACTGACTAGGGATGCGTGATGACTTTATTATATTATGGAACGTTTTATCGATAATCGATTGTTATAACTTTGGCTTAAATATCTATCGAAGGTTCACCTATTATGATTATGAATTTGCTTCTGCCCACGGTTTTACTCATACGCTACCGTAACTAGTACTGTAGTGACTAAATCAACCTAATTAGAAATAATTTAGAATATTTTTGACTCTTTTTAAAAGATTTTTGCTACACCAAAATGAATAGAATATAGTTTCGTTATTTTCCTACAGAAAAAATACTAAAACAATATACTGCTTAGTGTGATGAGAAAAAGACATTGTAGGTTGATAACGGCATATAAATAGACATGCATCGATATTTTTAAAATGTCGATACGTCGTCGTCGCACTTACTATAACCCGGCAATCTCGTGCGCGACCGTCCCGCGGGGTGACAGACAGTGGCGGGGGCGAGGTAGCGCGTCATTCTAGCACACGGCTACACACCGCTACACCACCCGCTACCCGCTGACATCGTGAGTACCTCGTCCCCGCCACCGTCTGTCACCCCGCAGGACGGTCGCACACGACGTTGACGGACTATAGTCTTGTCGTTTGACACTTACACGCATGACTTACATACCATTTCTCACAAGGCAATTGTATTTTATTTGGTTATTTTACTTTTGTTTAGTATTAAACTCTCATATATGTTTATTTTAATTTTATATAGTGTTACTCCATTATGCATGATGTGATGCCTTAAAATGTTGTGCATTAATCTCAATATAATGGATGCATGCTTTAGATTTTAGTAAATAATATCACAACTACTGACTGTTGAATAACTAAATAATTAAATAAATGCTCCCGCCTTGTGTAAATGTGTATTGAAGTACATTTATTCAAATTATTATTAATAATTTATGTATTTATGACTAGTATTACACCTGCTATGTGAGCGAAGATTTTTTTCTATTGTTTACCAATACATGCCAAGCAAATACCCTTCCGTCCTTCACCCATTTAGAGAGTCGGCTAACACTTTCTACAGCAAAATAGGGTTGCTTATAAGTAATAATAATGATGAATAACATTTTCGAATATTTGACACACAACGCCATCTAGTTTCAAACAAAACATTTACAATATTTTAGTACTTAACCTCGAAACATTCAAAATCCAAAATCTTTTTTCCTAGACTTCTTTCGCTAGTAATTTTTTTATGAGAATATTCAAGAATAAATTCTCAAGGGTTATAGGCATTTTTGATATTTAAACGCTGTCAATTCACTTCAAATAAAATGATGTATGGGGACTTGCCATTGTCCTTTATGCTATATTTTGCAGTGTTTTAATACTTTGTAAGTAAATATTGCTTTTTCTTAAATAGGTTAAAAGGTGATTGTACCCAATTTAGTTTAAAGCTGGTCTTAAGTACTATCAGATTTGAACACTTAAATGATTTGACTGGATAAAAAACACGTAAATGAAGGAAATTTAATTACCTGATATCTTTTATTAGATTGCAATCTGTACAACAAACTGATGGTATCTGACCTTCTTCATATGAACACATCTGTTAAAATAAAGATCTAAATATTACTACGCATTTAGACAATTGCAGTGCATTGTTGAAATTGAATTTCAATAGGTAATAATGAACAAGAAAGTTAAAAAAAAATAAGCAGCCAATGAAAGGAAATGAAAAAGGAAAATCTTAACGTGTATTTGTTCTAAAATAAATGGGAAATCATAAAATTTTAAAGCGAATTAGTACTTACTGGTGGAGGATCCTTATTTTTTGCGTCTATTATAGCGCTCAAGCATTTGTAAATGCTGACACATGTTCCTTTGCGCTCCTGCCAAGCGCAGGGTGCACCTAAAAGGATTCAATTACGTTTATATGTACACACATAGACGATACGCTTTGAATTTTTAAATTTAAAACATATACAGGTATTTTAAATATTTTAACGTATAATCTACTTAAAAGAAAAAATGGCATAACATTAAATTAAAGAGTCTATTGTTTCACATTTACAGTTTTATTTTGCCAATCATAATTCATGTACTTTTGAGTAATTAACATTGATGGATAAAAATCAAAACTTACCGTCTTTCAAATTCAATACCTCATCACTCCTTCCAACTCTAACAAAAACCAATACAAAATAAAACTTCCTTAGCAAAAGTATTTTAACCATTTTTTTTACTATTTCCTTACGCTTATCTTTAGTTACGGTCACGCAGCTTCTGATCGCGTCTAGTTTAGATTATAACTGTAATAAATAACCCATTGCCCTATAATACTATATTAATACAAACAAAAGATTGTTGTGTTTTTATCTTTTTATCCTACCTTTATTTTTATATAATACCAATTGTTTAACTAGAGAAATGGTGTGACACAATAAAAATACTAAACAGTAACGCAACATCCATTTAGTTATCAGTATTGTGCATGGTGTACTGCATAAGTTAAAAGTCGGTATCGATTAAAACTAGGAAAAAAGTAAGACTTGATATTGTTAAACGATTTTTTTATGTTGGTAATTAATTTGCTTTCCCCACCTTTTCTGCCACTTTTATAGATTAAAAACTAATTTTAGATTTTTCTTAAAATGGAAGAAATATTTCACTGTTAGCCCCGACTTCTCTTCATTGACTTAGTTCATAAGTATACATAATAGTTATTTAATTTTATTTAAAAAGGATTTATTTTCTATCATTATTTAAAAAGGAAATCCTCGATGGACACCGGGCCATACAGGGCTCACATTGGCCCCCTCGTGTGTGAGGACCACGAAGTCCAATTCCTGCCCATTTCTGCTAGGGTGACAGATCGCCTCACCTGTCACTCGCAGGCCTATTTTTATGGAGGACGGAAGTTGTTCAGCAACCTCCAATGCCTGAGCCGCCTGCGGTGCCTTGCGTGTCCTTTCCTGGGCTGGATCCTGCTGTACATATAAGAGGAATCAAATATTGCCCAATTGGGACCCATAATGTTTTTATGTCCGTTAAGTTACCCTTTTTAATAAGCTGTTTGTTATTTTTACTTCATTTTTGTCTCCTGCTTTGCTAAGGAGGTAAGTGTTTTTTTTTTTTCAACTTCTCTAATTTACTTCTGATCAATTTCGTTGCGGGTTCTAAGATATTTTAGCTTTTCATAAGACTTCTCGAGTGTCAAAACACGGTGTGTTCGTGGGTCGATGGTGGTTGGTAGGTTCGTGCTGTTGATCCTGATATACAGGAGTATATAGTAGTGGGCGGGTGGGAGAGAATACTCCCAAGTCTAACAAATGATGTCGGAAGCATCCTTTCCCGCTGATCACTTTACGGTTTCGGCTTCATTATCGATCAATGATACAACCTTCCAAAATAAATTCGAAATGTTCTAAATGTTCAGTTACGAACGTAACTGGACAAAATTTTAAATAAACGTTTACTTATCAAACCCAAATAAAATCAAAACCAAATAATCACTGTAACCGTACATACTCGTATTAAATAACCATTAGAGTTCCTTTTAATATTGTGCACATTTTTGGCAAAAATATTTACACAAATAGTTTTCAGACTTTTCGACACACTTTCACATGCAAAATTATGAATTCTAATATTAAGTCACCAATGTAATTTTCCAATGCCGATGTAAACAATACAATTTAATTGCAATGTAAACAATTACGACTGTATCATTTATATGTATACACTTATAAACTGTAGCAGTTTTTACTATTCTAACAAATGTGTATTAATTTCAATAAACATATACACAATGTAGTTTGCACTATAAAGTTAACAATCATATTTGTGTTTTTTATAATGTTATAAATGAGATTACAAAACTATTTGGAAAAGAAAATGTTTGTTACACAATTATTTTCATGTATGTTACCTCAAATCTCTTTCATTTGTAAAACGATTACCGACCGATAGAACATTCTTTTTTTATTAGGGTTGTACCTCAAAAGTTAAAAAAGGAACCCTTAGTAGATCACTTTCTTGTCCGTCTGTCAGTCTGTCTGTCTGTCCGTCTGTCTGTGTGTCACTACTGATTTTCTCAGGAACGGGTAGACCTAGTAAGCTAAAATTTATACCAGATACTAAGGTCTATGGTCCCTATTAGGTGTATACAAATCAAGGTCCTGAGTCAACACGATAAAAAGATATGGGCAAATTTCGATTTTCGCGAAAACTTGTAAGTACCAAAATTAACCTTAATTTCAACTGTTTTTATTTTTCAAAATTTTCTCTTTAAAATCTATGTAGGTACGGAACCCTCGGCGCACGAGTTCGACTCGTGCCTGACCGGTTTTTTTGGAAGGGTATATTTCCCCTTTGATTCCATTCAAATGTGAAGAAATAATGCCACTTCTTGTTTTGGAAAATTAAGTAATGCCGAAAACAATATATTTTAGGGTTCAAATGTCACATCTTACTACCTTATCTAAATTAAGTAATGGAGTTTTTAAACTAAATTTACCTAATATAATCTAACATACTACAGTTTGGTACTAAACATTACAGTAGTCGTAGTAGTCTTTTAAATATCGTACTTACAAGTATCTACTCATTACAAATAATTATATCTTACACTAAAAATGGTAAAATAAATCCTTACCAAAAAAAAAAAGTTGAACCGACTTCAAACATTTTTAACCAATAGCACTAAACATTAAAAAATAATTACAAATCTAATTGAAACAACTAAAAAAAGTGCAACCCTCAATATAACAGGTAACAGGTAATAGATACCTTCTAGTCTGTTTGAAGTCGGTGGCAAGCCTCGCTGACCAGACGGGTTTATGTCAAATTTTCTTTCTTTTTGCAGTGCTGTTGTACTGCGTAGTTTGCTCTGAAACAAATATTTGCAGATTATACAAATAGTGATATAGTGAGAGTTAGGGGCAGGCAGATATTATATCATGTCATGTCATTTATAATTAGGTAACTTTGGCAATTGAAGATATAAAAGTTGGGAGTATATCAAAAGGAAAAAGCAAACGGGAAAGGAGATATTAGAAAACAGATATAAGGTTTTTTATTACCTATGATTATATATGATTTATATATTATTGGTTTAGGAAGTGCAAACAATATCTGGAGCAGCTTAGGGTGTGGAACACGACACTGTCCTTAATCCAACTGATTTTTATATCTTCATTTGTTATGCCTTTACGATTTAGCTTTTCAAATAATCTTCATTACACTTTGAATACACGTAGTCATGATAACGGACAGGGACGAAGTGTAACTGCTATCCTTAGAAAAGGGTATATCGTACTTAAAAGCTAATGAATTCTTTGATAACATACAAAAAATACAATTCTAATAGGTTCTTGAAACACAACACACTTAAAGATATTATGGAAAGTTCTATTTTTTGACAAGATGCCATTTAGGCACCGTAAGGCACTTCGTGTCAACACTTGCTAAGATTGATAATAAATCAAATGCAGTTAAAGAAAAGATGGTGTAGCTTTTTGAGGCGATTAACAATCAGCAGTCGAAAAAGATATTAATAGACGGTTACGAAACGGTTGGAAAATACAGTATGTATTTTTGATGTAAATGGAAAAGGTAATGGTTCGGAACTTTATGTCATAAATTCGGAAAGCCGAAGGCAATCAGTATTTGAGAAGCAGTTTCCAACCTGCTTATCATTTGTCTGTTCCCTATGACTATCGCCTTTATTTAGATTCTGCATCATAAAACTAAACTGCCATGAAACCCCCGAGGCAAGAAATAAAGTCTGCCATTGTTTGGCGACGATGTGTGCAAAGTGCAAATAAGTATTAATTTGTTCACTAGACTCTTGACTCTTTACCTTCATAATATTGTCGACATTTTACACATTGCGATAACAATATTCTGATGTCAATAATTTATACAGTATTACATCATAAATCGTAGTCCTTAAAGTTTATAATAGATTAAAATAATAACGTGCATTCATTTCATTCCTTGTGCAGTATAACATATAATTTGTTTTGATTTACAAAGATAATAACATAAACAAGCTTCATGCTTATTTTTTTCCTGCAAAAATAGTGAGACGTGTTTTTACGCATATCTTTATTATTCACTTATGAGCTCTTCACTTATGAGGTAGCAAGTACATTGGTTAAAGTCGGACGAAAGAAACAACCAGAAAATTTGAAAATCAACTGGATTATATTTTTGTATCAGTATTATAAGTGCATACAATAACCTGCTGCGGATCAGATGTTATGGTGTAAAATGAAAAAGAGAGCGAGTATTGCTTACCCGGATATAAATAAAGTTTCCTACGGTCTTTGATATACATATGGTTTCCAAAATATCTGCTGAAGAGCTTCTTCGAAATCATGGAGAGTAGTCGGGTTAACATAATAAAAAAAAAATTGTAGGGTATCAACATGTCCTAAAATGATTTGCTTCAATCCTTTTGTTTTCACATACAGGAGTTCAGATTTCTAGTATAGTATATTGTATGTGTGGGTGTTATTGACTTCTCTGAGGTCAATTTAGTATTTTTTAAGTATAGATTATCTCTCGACAACAGTACTTGGTTTCCAGATTGAAGGTATGCCCTAGTTGATCAGGAAAAGGAGTCGACTAGATAGATGTTTGAAATAAAAACATAGTAATCATAAACACAGATTCAAAGCACAACTATTAGTACGGGAAATGGGCCTAAATACAACATTGTACGAATTCCTAATTACGAGTATAGCTGTAATAATTAAGTTGCAAAAAAGTGCCTTTAAATAAATGGATTTTTCAAAACTAAGCAACAGACTACGGCAAAAAACCCCACGCATACTACACATCAAAGCCAACAGCATTAACCAACGTTTGGTATGCCTACATTTATAATTGTTTATTTAGCAGTATTTTTTTAAATATTTTTAATATCTATAACTTTTTCATGATGGACCTAGAGGAACCAAAATACGTCGAAATATTTCGGCTGGCATTTTTTTTGAGAAATCCTGGTCTTTAGGTATCAAAAAGAAAAGGTACTTTTTTGTGCTGATGACAAGTTGTGTATACAATTTGATGATGATCGATTGAGAGGGCAAGTCGTGTTAGTGTAACAAACAAACTAGGGTATTAAGTAGTAAGAATTAAAAACGATATATATTGTGATGGATGCCTTTAATTAAATATATTCAGTGAGGTTTTTTACAATGCCTAAAAAAGAAAACAAATGTTTAATTAAATAATTATTTTACAATATACTTATGAAGTAATTTCTTACTTAAAAAAACTGACACCTTGCCCTTAAAAATAGTGCATAAAAATCTATTTTATGACCGCCTACTAAAAATGATCACATCATAATTAATTACAATTGATGCTTCGATTTCTCCCTTATTCAACCTCGTTTTTCAAGAGGTAATATGAAATGGCTAATACCGAGTTCTACAAAACGAATTGCTTTAACAACTGACTATATTATTCCAAAAGAACTATTTTTATGAGGACTAGGCAGGAAAACAATTACATTTAATCCAAATTTTCAAGTTTGTTGTAAATAATAAGAAAAGAGTGAATAAAGATCCTTACTTCAAATTTCAATTAAATTATATTTTGCCCTAATAAAAACGTTGCTATAAATAGCTGCACAAATACGCTGTTAAGTTACTCGTGATTGTGGAATTGAAGGTAGGCGAAAGTATAGGTACTTAAGTATTGAAATCTTTGAATGTAGTCGTTTTCAAATGAGACAAAAACAAGTTATAAGTCAAACAAAGGCAGCTAGGATAAGGGAGGGATACTGCAAGCTAATTTGATGAAGAAATTTTAAAAAATCTAAGACTGCAGTATGCTGAATAGGCCTAGGCAGACGATAAGTTTATTATATATCCATGAATCTTATAATTCAAGGAATGTACCTTTCAAATATAATTTTTAAAACTTTTCTTTATCTTTTCTTTATATTATCTTTTATCACAGTGTTTTTATTTGATCTACTAACCAACACATCTATAACTCGGCTTCTTTATACCTCGATATGAATAAACTTCTGTGAATATGCGGTCCGTTTATTCACGTTAAGAAGATTTCGATCTTTATCTTTCATCATTTTTGATCATTATTTTCATCACGTGAGTAAGGTTACTGGAGGTTTAACTCCCCCACCCCTGATGATAGCGCCATTGAGCAATGTTTTCTCATAGGCGGAACCAGCTGCGCTGGGTTTGAGAATTCAACTCACACTCCGATCAACATAGGCGTCAGAAAATCTGCCCGCGGTATGAGCAGATACCTCAGGATACCCCTGACACATCAGGACATAAAGCTTTACAGAGACAGTGAACCCGGCCTAACTCTTTTAAATCAAGACACAGATATCGTCTCAAGCTTATTCCACTCATAATTCTAGGCCTTGTGGCTGGCACGTATTTATATCTCTTGAGTTTTAGGTGTCTGTAGGCGGTGGAACTCACTTATAATCGTGCTCGTTGGCTCGTTTGCCCCCATACCATGTAAAAAATTTAGAGACGGCCATATATATTTTTCAAGCCAGATTCTCACTGGTAAATCTCATACTCTCAAAATTTAGGTTTTTACTAAAAAAAAATGTTATTTCTTGCTGTAACAGTTGAAGTAATTATCTTTGGAAAATCGATATTCTTTTGAGAATTTCCTACAAACTCGAACTGTTACGAAGCCTATCAACCCATGGGGTAATGCGGCTATACCTTGAAGGGTACTGTGTAAAGACTCACTATCAACAGTGGGAAGATATAGTATCTTACACTTGATTGTTAACTATAATCACTTATTACAATTAACAATGTTTTTGATAGTATCGAGTTTAATTTTCACATAATATATTCATACAAAAGCTTTATAATTATTTCGACCCTCTCAATAAACTAAGTTTTTTTTTTCAATGAATTGAACACAAATCTAATTCTAACAAACCCCTAAAACAAAGAGTTAAGATATCAGTTGATTTTCATACGATTTTTTTGATATTTGTTTGTCCCCAAACCATGTCAATGATAAGCCACTGACTAGTATAGTAAAAAAAGTTTTCAACGATAAAATATATGACTAGTACTAGGAATTTGTGTCCCGTAAATAACTTCAGACCGGGATAAATGTATTCTCCTTTCAGGAAACTTTGAACACATCTGAAAAATATTAAACATATATTTTAGAAACTAAACAAAAGAGGACAAGATAATTTATATCAGTGTAAGTACTACTATTTATTTATTTTACACAAATAGTTGTACCTACAATACCTATTATGGCGGAAAAAGATCATTTGATTATAAAACATATGTGTAGATTCTGCCCGTCCGATGCCTGTCTGACTAGTGTCCTTCGTATAATCTTTGATAACTTTGATAACATATGTTTTTAAAGTTAGTGATTCTATCTCTTTTTTTGTGTTACATCTTTCTTCTCGCTTTTCTGCAATGTGTGGGATGACCGAAATATATAACAGATACCCGTGAAATTGATTGACTAATAAACGCTAGGTTTTCTATAGTTAGCTGTATGTCAGATGCTACAGAGTGTCAGACATTATATGCGACTACTGTCAGGCTCTTTTTTTTTTGTCCTTGAGTCCTGTAAGTAATGGCAATTCTCCTCTCGATAAATCTTTTCAAATTTCGTTTAAAGTATACTTACACTAAAATGTAAGTTAGAAGAAAACATGACAGTATTCCTATATTCAGTATGGAGTTCTTAGGCCTCTCTCTCTTGACGAGGACAAGGTCTATAAGTACTATGATAAGAGACACCGTGTGCATAGAGTGTTGTGTCCAGAAAGGAACGACTGCGTAGACGCTTAGGGGCGCGATTAACTCCCGATGAGAGTTCCACACTCGCCAGAATAAAATGTCACCGAACTGAAACAAAAAAAAAAAAATTGTGGCTATTTATATTCTCAATGACACTTAAACTAGCGGCATCGTTTCTAATATATTCTAATTTCAAGTAGTTACTTAACTTAAACTAAAATGCAACGGAATCTTGATAAAAATTAGAGAGTCTGACTTTACAGTATTAATATGCGCTTAAATATAAAATAAAAATTATAAGATTGTTAAAAACAAGTTAATACTGTTATTACTTAAACATAAACTCTTTCATTTGTTGTTAAAATCAAAACTTCTAAGCAATAAAACAACACAATACAATAATGATTACAATAATATAATGAAGCGTAAACCTTGATCATGTACAGCCAAATGGATTAGGAGACTGAAAAGGCTCATTGCAACATGGGGGGTCTTCGCCGATTCTATACGTATTTCCTCAATTACAGTAACTTACAGTACAGTATAATAAATAACAAGGACATTGGAGCAATCGAATTATACGGTGACACGTAATAATGACATGTTTTATGTGAAGGGTGACTCAACATACTCGTGTTCATTGAAAGGAGTAACTTGCTATTAGAGTACCTCTTAACTGAGAGCCAACCTTATATATACCCTTACATACTTTTTATTTTAAACAAAAATATTAGTTTCGTATTATCCTAGTAAGCAGGGATGAAATATATTGATGAAGTATGCTTACACAATGCTTACACAATTTTTTAGAGTATTTGGCAAGATTCTGACATCATATGCAATGTTTTAAAAAGACTTATCATCATCAGCCTATCGCAGTCCACTGATGGACACAGGCTTCTCCAATTGCACGCCACTTACATCAATTTTTGGCTTCTCGCATCCAGCTCCTGCCAGCCATCTTGCGCAGATTGTCACTCCCCCCGGCCTGTGGGCGTCCTACAATACCTTTGTCTACACACGGTCTCTACAAATATGGAACTTGTAAGAAATAGGTATATTACAGAAACCTTCAACTTCTCTAAATATTACATTCTACAAACAGGGTTTTTGAAATATAATTCTACTCGTATCCATGCATGAATGACTGAAACAATTCACTTGACAGAAAATTTAGGGAAGTTCCTGTTTAGCTATTTAGTGGTATATTATACAGGTATTTAGTAACGATTTAAATTAATTTTGAAATAGCATCTATCTAAGGATTCAAAGAAATGTTATGTGCATACTTATACTTTAATACAGTAGTATTGCACGATGTCGACGATTATCATTACAAACATACATAAAAACATTTATGGCGACGCTATTATTTGTAAAAACATGAAATATTGCTAGTAATGCTACTTAACCGAATGCTTCTGTTGAGTCTCGATTTTTGTGATAAGTATGAATACCTATTTTTTAATAACTTAATAGGCAGAACATATATTTTGTTACTTAAGTCTGTGGATCTTGCTGAATATTGATTATTTTAGCAATCTATGTAACCAATAGCAATATTGCATAGAAACTTACCGCAGTGGCCGGTAGAAGGAAGCTTGTGAAACACAAGTATCTAAGTTGATTGAGGACTTTAACGTGTTTCATCTCATGCTCCTCTCTCAAATTACGCCAGTCACAGTAGAAGCAAATAGGGAAGTAGATAAAAGTGAAAAGCTGTAACAAAATAATAATGATATAAATATTATTTCAACTGAAATACTTGCGATAAGCTTTTGTTTTCTGTTGACAGAGAACGTTTCGTCATTGTACTGAATTATTAATTATTATGTGAGATGTTTTTTAGGGTTCCGTACCTCAAAAGGTAAAAAAGGAACCCTTATAAGATCACTTTCTAATCCATCTGTCCGTTTGTCACCATAGATTTTCTCAGGAACGGGTAGACTTTTTTTTTTTTTTTTTCACGCGGGGAATGCTTTTCGCACCATACCCTCCGTTGGGGAAACGTAGGGCGTGTGTGGGACTCCCGGAGAACCGGTCTACCCACTAAACCCCGCGGCGGCCTACCTCGGCAGTCGGGAGGAGCTAAAGGAACGCATCGGCGACTTCTGGAGTCCTCCCTGCCGTACCTCATGTCTGAGGCACATCCCGGATTGACCGTAGTCACCCTGGGGTAGGACGCTATCGCGCCTCTCACTGCTCTACAGAGTAAAAGGCGCAACGGCGTCCCGCCTTAGACGACACGCCCCCGGCCGCACCGGAGTGTCATCCGTCTCGGGTCGTTTACAGCGGTCACATCGCCCCAAGATGTGGCCGCAGCGACCCTTAGGCGGCGATTGGGGAGTTAGCGACCTCTGCCGCGTCCCCTTCGCCGCCTCCTTCGAGCGGGATCGGCCCTCTCCCGATCCCGCTCTTCGGCCTCCTTTTTGAGCATAACGTCCTCGCAAAAGGAGACCGCGGCTGCCCATCCCTCGCTACTCGCCAGCATTGCCGCGATTAATGCTGGCGGTGACAGGTTTCGTCCGATCTGTCCGACCAAGACTCGACGTTCGGACTCCTATGCAGGGCAGTCCTCCAGCGTGTGCTGGGCGGAGTCCCGGTCGGACCCGCAATGGTGGCATTGTGCCGTGGCCTCCCGTCCAATTCGATTCAGATACTCACCGAAGCAACCGTGCCCGGTAAGCATCTGAGTCAATCGGTAGGTGACACAGTCGTTCCTCACTACTCACGCTTCGAAGCTCGGCAGAACGGCTCCGACGGCGCGTTGGCTAGCACAGCCCTGGATTACAAGCCGTGCCTGCCACGCTCGCAAAGCCTGCGTATGCGCGTTCCGCCTTAGCATTCCGGGCTCATGATCCGGCGCGGCCTCCTCACCATTCGGACGGACGGACTTGGTCATAGACCATCGCGTCCATGTCGGCCAGAATGTCGAAGGGTGGATATCGAGCCAGGACCGTCGCCGCCTCAAACGAGATGGTACGATAACCCCGTACGACCCGTATGGCCATCAACCGCTGTAGGCTTCTGAGTAGAGCCTTGCAGCGGGAGGCACCCGCCAAGTCATTAGACCAGACGGGTGCCCCATAGAGGACCATGGATCGCACGACCCCCATATAGAGACGGCTAACTTCTTCCCGTGGTCCCCGAGATTGGGCAGCAGGCGATGCAGTGCACCCGTTACCCCGCGCACTCGGGGGACTAATCGCACGAAATGCTCTTCGAAGCTCCACCGACTGTCCAGGATGAGGCCTTGCCCACCTGGACTTCAGCGTCTTCCACCCGGAGGCATGAGTTGGGTGGTTTCTGGCGTAGGCCTGGCGTACGTAGGCCATGGAACCATATCGCCTCAGTTTTCCGAGGCGCCACTCTCAGACCCAGCTCATGAATCTTTCCCACGACACAAGCCACCCCATGCTCGGCGAGCCGAAGCACCTCGTCGAAGTGTGACCCTCTAGCCAGTATTAAAGTGTCATCTGCATAGCAGACAACACTAAGGCCAGAGGGCAGACAGGTGCGAAGGACCACATCGTAAGCGAGGTTCCACAACAAAGGGCCTAAAACAGAGCCTTGGGGAACCCCGCAACACACCTATCTCCGAATTTCCACCCCGCCCCGACCGATAAACTTCACTGTTCTATCGCGCAGATAGGCCCCAATGACGGCCCGCAGGTAGAGCGGCACCTCATGAAATTCAAGGGCCGCCCTTATCGCCTGCCAGGGGAGGGTACCGAACGCGTTGACGATATCAAGGCTAACCGCCAAAGCCACCCCCCCTGATTGGACTGCCGACTCCGACATGGAGCGAACGCACCTGATAGCGTCCACTGTCGAACGCCCCCGTCGGAATCCAAACTGGCAGTCTGACAGATCATGGCCTACTCGCGACAGGTGCCCGCTGATACGATCGGAGATAACCCTCTCAAAGAGTTTCCCCGACTCGTTCAGCAGGCAAATCGGTCGGAACGCAGAGGGGGAATCTGCAGTTCTACCTTCCTTTTTCAAGAGCACCAGTCTCGCTTCTTTCCAGCCGAGGCGGAACACACCGAGGCTAAGACAATCTGTGAAAATCCGCCTCAGTTTGTCCCCCAGTACCGACAGAGCTATCACCAGCGCCCGACCTGGAATACCATCAGGTCCGGGCGCAGTGTTGCGGGAAGCCAGTCGCCGCACGACTCGGTCCAGCTCTCCCTCCGTCACCTCACACTCGTCGGACCAGAGTTGCAGGTCCGATTGTAACGGAGAGATCAAGGGACTGTCCTGGACCCTTGGGAAGAGCGTGTCTACCACTCTTCCCAGGAACTCCGGGTCCAAAGTTTCCGTCAATGGAGGGACCCATGGTTTTAGTTTGCCCAGTACAATTTTGTACGGGCGCCCCCATGGGTCTCTATCCAGTCCCCCCATGAGTTCTTTCCAGGACCGAGCCTTGGCCTCAGCGATTGCATCGCTGAGAGCTTTTACAGCAGCGCCATATTCCCGCCGTGCTACTTCGATCTTCTCGGCTGTAGCTCGCCGTCTTCTCCAGGCTCAAAGATACGGGCGGTGCAATCTCGCAACCGTCGTTCTCAGCTGCGAGATCTCCACGCTCCACCAGTACGCCGAGCCCTTCCTGGCTGACCTGACTCGGGGCATTGAGGCATCACATACGGACGCCATAATGTCCCCAAACCAGGCCGCCTGTTCTTCTGGATCGGACGAAACCCTTTCCTCCAACCAATCCGCCACGTGGGATGCGGCAACGACCATCTCTCGGTCAAGCCGCTTGAGGGACCATCGTCGCGGAGGTTCTCTATCCTGACGTGGGCGGTCAGCGCGGAGGAGAGACACATCGAATACGATGTGCCGGTGGTCAGAAAGATTGACCACTCTCTCCGCCACCCGCCATCCCGACACCATGTGCACTGCAGAGGGAGTCGCCCATGACAGGTCGACAATCGACTCCCCCTGCCATCGCACACAGGTGCTAACTGAGCCCCGATTTAGAAGTCGGAGGTCCAGTCCAGCCGCCCACTCCAGGATAGTCTCTCCCCTCGCATCGTCCCGAGTGTCACCCCACTCCCTTGAGTGGGCGTTGAAGTCACCCAGGACGAATACCGGACGGGAGGCGTAGCTGCGAATGCAGATTGCCAACCCGTGCAGGTATGCCTCATATTCGGCTAGGCCACGATTGGGAGAGAAGTAACACCCCACCACCACTGTTACCCCCCACTCCACTGCCACGAAGCCAGCACCCTTTCTTAGGAGAGAGCAATGGAAGCCTTCCCCACCCGGCCAATAAATGGCCGCTGAGCCATCGACCGCCCCGAACCAACGCGGATAGTCCGGGACGGTATAGGGCTCTTCAATGACTGCCAGGGCAACCGACTGCTCTGCGAGCGTCTGGATTAATAGATCCTGCGCTGCGCGGCAGTGGTTGAGGTTGCCCTGGAGAACCCTTGCGTGTGGTGGGAATGTTAAGCCTCCATTGCCTCTCCCGTCGAGTTACAACTCGACACTGGCTGTCCAGATTGGGCAAAGGCGGGGCGAGGCTGGACCTCTCCCTCCTTTTGCTTCTTCGGTGGGCAACAGCTCTTACTACCCAACCGATGGTTTGCGGGCCGGCCGTGGTCACTGCACACCGGACACTTCGGTGCGTTCGCTGCGCAGTCTCGGGCCTTATGGCCTAATTCTCCGCAGCGAAAGCAGCGCCAGGAACGGGTAGACCTAGTAAGTTGAAATTTATACCAGATACTAAGGTCTATGGTCCCTATTAGGTGTATTCAAATCAAGTTCCTCAGTCAACATGATAAGAAGATATGGGCTAATTTCGATTTTTCGATACATGATTAGAAGATATGGGCTAATTTCGATTTTCGCGAAAATTTGTAAGTACCAAAATTTACCTTAATGCTCAACTTTTTTTTGCCTTTAACAAAAATTTACAATTCTATATCAACCGGAAGTACCCTATAGGTTTTGGGTCGAAAACCTATATTGCAGTTCCCGTTGACCTAGAATCAGGAAATTGGGCAAAAAGAAACGTCTTACAGCACAAATAAAGGAATAATCACAAAAATATAAAAAAAAAAAAATTGAGATAAATTTTGGTACTTACAAATTTTCGCGAAAATCTACGAAAACTCTATGTAGGTCTGTCGGGTTTTTTTTTTGAGATGATCGGGATAGTTGGCGCTCCTTGGAGGAGGCCTTCGTTTAGCAGTGGACGGTGATAGGCTGATGATGATGGCATTTTAAGCTGTGGCAATGGCGTTAAGATGTGTAAACATACAAGCATTCGAAAATGCAATATTTAGGATTCAAAAAAGAACCTTTTCTTTTAAATATATTTCAAACAAAATTTTGATCTCTCTATTATTTTTATGAAATGGTTAGAAAACGTTAAGGTGCCTAATAACACACAGTATTATTATGTTTTTTGGTTAAAATCAGAACATATACTGATTCTTAATACATACATACATCATCAACAGCCTTTAATATACATACGAGTACATACATGTCATCCTACATTCTCGATGGAGACCAAAAATCTATCACTTGGATCAAAATATCTGTAAATCAGATAGTCAAAATTAGATCAACGCACCTACAACATGTAATTACCTACCTAATACTGTGTTTTTCATTCCATAATTTTATTTTATTAAAATAAGAGGTAACATAAAAAATACAATCGAATCAAAACAATCTGACTCGTGCGACTTAGCCTGCTTCTCTCA